AGAAGAAAATGTGGTTCAAAAAGTAGTGTGTATCATATTTGTATCATATTTGAATTTTTCCAACAATCATTATTTTCACATTCCCCTTCTGATTATTACATCCCTCCTTTCAAAGCCCCAACATACAAACTAACCCCCCACTTCTATTTCTCACAGGTAGTGAAGTTGCAGTATTTGAAATGGTCAGTCTCAACTGAGTGATGAAACACTTCTGTTTTTTATTCAGTCAAACAGCACGACCCCRCCAGCTGCTGAAACTTTGCTTTGAAATATGGATTGAGATGATCTGTATTTCAAAAACATTCACAGATTTTCTAACTGTATTGTTTCTGTTTTTGCGAAATCAGCAGCAGCTGAGTTGAACACAGGCATTCAGGATGGGCCTCCACACTGAGGGTATTAATACCTCATATACAAATATTAAGTATACACTTTTTCATTCACACTCGATATCCCATTAGGAAAAAGAGAAACTCATTTTTTAAAGAATGTTTTGCAAATGCATTAAAACTTTAAAAACTTTTATTTCAAAAACTATTTTGACAATTTGTTGAGGCACAAAGTCAACCAGTTCAGAAGGGCACACAGCATAGGTCCTGCATTTCACAGGAGCAAACACTTCTAAAGCTCTYAGTGTTACTAGGAGCACAATGACAATTTCTTATGTACAAATGTTTCCTCTGCATTTATGTTAGGCGCTGTCTCTCCTCGTCAATGTTAAATATTGTTATTTTATCTATTGCACATCTGACATTCTGGGAGAGGGATCCCTCACTTGTGGATCTCACYGAGKTTTCTATGGTTTTCCCCTGTTAAAAGGTTTTTTTTGGTAGTTTTTCCTTACTCATGTTGAGAGTTAAGGACAGAGGATGTCACACCTTGTTAAAGCTCTGTGAGACAAATTGTGACTTGTGAATATGGGCTCTACAAATAAAATTGGATTGATTGATTGCTATGGATAGAGCTGAYATTACAAAATGACACAAGCACCACTCACCTCTGTTTTTAATATTAATAAAAAAATACACCCTCTAGATCTAAACTTCACTGGTAAAATAAAGGCATCGTACTGTGAGTTAGACGTCTTCTTAAATAAATATTATTACCTATGTGATGGAAATCTAAAAATAGAAGAGGCTGGGTTACCAAATTTGTCTTTGTGTATTTTATCGGGAGCTTTCTGCAGAAAGGATCAACACAGAGAGTCACAGGGATCTCAGAGTGCTGATGAAGAACAGTCAAATGCAAACGTCCAGTATAGGAGAACTAAGGCTGTTTGTCTCAGCCAGTTCAGACTGGTTCTGTAGGCACAGTTTGAGACAGGAATTAAGACACAGGGAACTTATTTGTATTAGTTTCCTCTGAAGATAGAGCAGACAGAAAATAAGTCCTCGCACAGTCAGTAAGTAATTGAAAGGTCATAAAAGCTTCAGGTCACAGTTCAGTTCATAAAAGGCCAAGACAGGAATATAAAAGTTCCATTTAAACTATAAAAGATTTCCACCACACTTACCTGAGTATATTAGGGTGACAGAGCCTGTTCATGAGCTGAACTTCTCGTAGCATGTTAGCCTTGTTGCTAGCCAGTGTGTTCATTTTCAGTGCCATCACCTGCCCTGTGATCCGATGCTGCACCTGGACAACAAGCAGAGGAGGTTTAGAGTGAGAGAACACACAGAGAGTGAGGTGCACTGCTTCACTGCGAAAACACCGTCAGTAGATGGAGTTGCATGTTYATTTAAGGGAAAATCCTGCACATTTTTGCAGTTAATAAGGTCACACAATTTGCTACAGTGAGCAGAGGAATGATCCATCTGTGAAGAGATGGCATACAAATTGCCCAGACAAGCCATTGTACAMGCACTATTCACAAGCCACAACGAATGCTGTAGTGTGGAAAAGGACCAGAAACCTCAGATTATAGTCTAGAGATGTCCCTAACATCTGTTGGTCACTAACATCCACTAGTAGATGGCACCCTAATAAGTGCCATATTCTCCATCTTGACCAATGTTCTAAACTGGGAGAGCTTTTGACTCTGCTGACTGACAGTAGGTGTTYAGTTTAAAAAGGCATAGAGCAATGATCTGCTGAGCAGGCCCCCTGGCTTTCATAGTACTGCCAWACAAGCTAGAAGCCAGTCAGACTTATCTTTAGCCTCAGCGTACCCTCAACTTCAGCCTGTATCAAGGGCAAAACACTTGAAAGGTGCACAACTGAAGATTTGTCCCCAACATCTGTTAACATCAACTGGTGGTTGGCATCWTAATAAATAGACCTTCAAACATACAAGAGATATTCTCCAGCTTGTCCTGTTTGAAATATTCACATATGCACAGATTTGTACTGTATTACAATATTAAGCAATACAATTCCTCAAAAATAAATTAGAAATGAATCATTAATTATCAATCAAATGTTTGCATGTAAACAGTATATATAAATATATATATATATAGATTTATTTTATTGTAATGATTTATTTTATGTGCAGCAATTTCTCTATCATACATAWATCGTACACCATCGGCACAGGCAATGTGGAGTCTAATATCTTGCCTAAGGACACTTCAGCGCTCGGGAATGGGAGACACAGGGATCGACATGCCAAACTTTTGGTTAGTGGACAACCTGCTCTACCTCCAGAGCTACAGCCGGCAGAAACCAACAAATATTATATCTTAGATCCATTTTTACCTTCCAAAATGAATTTCGAWACATTGTAACATAACACAGTGGCAGCTGAGAATAAGGGTTTCTCACACWGACCAGAGGGTCATCTCAGGAGCTGGACTGTGAGCTGCTGAGATGACCTCTGGTCTCATCCAACAGGCAAGTCCTCACATTAGCTATCAGGCTCCTCTCCTATGGAACCAGCTCCCACTCTGGGTTCGGGAGGCAGACACTGTCCCAGCGTTTAAAGTAAAACTAAAAACCTTCCTCTTTGACAAAGCCTATAGTTAGTTCTGGATCAGGTGAGTCCTGAACCATCCCTTAGTTGTGCTGCTATAGGTTTAGACTGCTGGGGGAACTCCCATCATGCACTGAGCACTTCTTCACTTCCCTCTGTCTCTGTCCCCCCACACCTGCTTATTTATTTATTTATTCATTTTAACATGTCATCATGTCAAAGTGTCACTTTGTCCTCCCATAGTCCCTCTGGCTCTTCTCTCTATCTCCCGGCACCGGGACTGCAGGACAACAACCACCTCATGTCTCTCTTCTCTCCCCCGCTCTCCACCCATCTCTCCTTTCCTCCCCCCTTACTTTTCTTTCCTCACCCCAACCGGTCGAGGCAGATGACCGCCCACATTGAACCTGGTTCTGCCAGAGGTTTCTCCCTGTTAATGAGGGAGTTTTTCCTCTCCACAGTCGCCTGTGCTTGCTCATTGTGGGAACTGTTGGGTTTCTCTATGTTAATATTGTTTTAAAGTCTTGACCTTTTAATGTAAAGTGCCTTGAGATAATGTAAATTATGAATTGGCGCTATATAAATAAAATTGAATTGAATTGAAAGTCTACAGCTTGCTTAGTCTCAATGGTAAAAACATAAGAAACTAGTTGTTGCCATAACATAGTTTTTCTCCAAATAGGCAATAATAGTGCAACAGTTTTTTTTTTTTAAACTGGTAAAATAATACAGCATAATGCTTCCCCTGATTTTTGAAAGTGCCAAGAGAATGAATCACAGTACCTGTTGCTTAAGCCATCAAAAAAGTCTTTAAAATGAGTGTAAGATGATCTGAACTCCAAGATACTGTTAACACAAACACAGTTTTTATTATTTTTCTGACAAGCTGATTAAATAACTCATATACAGCTCACTGCTCCCTTTATTTTTGAAAGTACCAATCAAATGGATCAAATCAAATACTTGGTACTTAATCCATAAAAAAAAGCAGCCTATAAAAATGAGTCTATGCCATGATGCTGCCTTGCTTTTTACCTTTGACCTTTTGGTAAATTGGACAATGCCTCCGCAGTCACATTCCCCTTAAATATTTGCACTTGTTAAGTTTTGCACCTGTATGTGCTGGTGAACTCACAGAAACACAGGTTAACAAAAGACCATGTCCATACCACATTTATGGGACATTTTTCAGTAGTCTCAAAAAGTCATTTACAGTATAGAAAACTAGTTCAAAATGTAACTGAGAAAAATAAAAGTTAACCCTCCTGTTCTCTTCCTGGGTCAAGGGAAAGAAGAAGGAATGATGGGGGGGGAAGAAAGAAAGAAAGGATCGGAAAAGGGATGGTGGAAAGAAGGGGGGAGACAGGAAGGAATGAAAGAAGATTGGAAAAGGCGAACAGATTGGTTCGGGGAAGGAAGGATCAAGGGAAAGAAAGTGAAAAGGAAAAAAAGAGGGATAGAGAAATAAAAGAAACAAAGAGAGGAAAGGAGGGGAAGAAGGGAGAACGAAAGGAAGGAAATGAGGATGGATGGAGGGAGAGAAGAAAAGGAGGAAAGGACCAGTCAAAACAGAATCAGTTAGACCAAGGGGGACAACAAAGAATCAGTGTCAGGGACTCCTTCAAATGTAACCAGTTATCAGAGCTCCAAATCCTCTCTTTGTCAATTGCAGTGACAATGATTCTCCATTACTTTACTAATGGCAAAGCAATGTTTTGAGAACTTTTTTCCGCTGCCCCCCCCTTGATCGCCGGGATGAACCGTGAGGTGGTCCTCTGCAAGTGTCACTGCCGCCTCCAGCGTCGCTGGCCGATGGTAGCGCACGCATGCCATGGTCCGGTCCGGAAGACCCTCCCCCAGCATTGTTTTTTTTCCCCCTGTCCGATCCCCCTGGCTGCAGCCACCGTCTCGCTGCGTAACGGGTGGTCTGCCTGCCCTAGCCTGGCGTCCCGGCTCCGGCAGATATACCTACCAGAAAAGCTCTCATTAAAACCAGCTAAACTGTGAGCTCCCAGGTTATCTGCTGCAACCAACTGAATCATGCCTTTAAGACATCTGCCAAGCAATGGAACGAAAACTCCCTTTTGCTCCAGAGTTTTCATATCTTGAAGAAGGTTATAACCAAACTTGTTCACATCCTCAGTTTTACACAAGACTGCCAAGTAAAATGAAGACAGTGATGAATGCGAGCCTGGAGGGAAATTATTTAAATTCCAATAGATTCCACAGAGGTTGTGTTTCTTACGAGAAGTACCCAGAGGGTTGCAAATCTCAAAATCATCGATGTATAAACTTTCTAAAATTCTCAACTCATCCACTAATAGAAAACTGTTTTCCTGGAAGAATGAACCACCCTGAGAAGATTTGTAAGTATGTTGCTCACCAGTCACCCTAGTACTCTGCTGTGCTTTGTGGTTTTCAACTACCTTGTCTGCAACATCTCTCCTGTCAAAGATCTGCTGCAAAGACTTCAGTACAGGCACATACTGAAAACATCTTTTTTCCTTGGCATCAAGTATGTACTCGATGAGTTCTACAACCTTAAAGCTTTCTTTATAATACTGTTTGTGGAGATAAGATGTGTTCAGGGGACCACCCTTCCCTTTGAGCAATGGGTTAGATGCACAGAGAGCAGTGGCTACTTCTGTTACCTAAGACCTATCAGTTGTGGGACTATGTTTCTGAAAAACACCTTCAAGAATGTTCATGGAGAGGGGTAATGTTGCTGAACGTAGCAAGTAGTGCAGTTCCTCTAAGAAGTCATCAATTTCTGTGCCTGGAACATGTGCAAAATGCTCCAACTAGAGCTTAGAGCAATTTTGCTTAATTACTTTAAGCAAGTTCTTAGTTACATCCACATCACTACTTGAACATGCATGGTCGGTTTCAAGTGCAGAGTCATCTTGATTAAGTGCCTCTTCCTCAGGATTATCAGAGGATTCTTGTGAAACTCCAGTGGTTCTATCTACACCTGGCTTGAAATATTTAAACATATGTGGGTTGTGTTTCCTATTCTTGTGAGAGTGAAATGTTCTGTATACATTTGTTTGAAAACTGCAAACCCCAAACATACAAGCAACAGTTACATTCCTCAAATGAGTGCTACATTGCTGTAGTCTAAAATGTTTTAGTAGCTCAAATCTACAGGACAGAGATAGATTACACTCCCTACAACTCCACATCTCCTCACCTAAAGAAATTCACTGTTTTCCGAGCAGGCACTTATTCAGCTGAACGGCCGACACAGGTGTGGTTGGATGGAGGACACTCTTTTGGTCAGGAGTTGCTGTGATAAATTGAGAGAACAATCAATTAATGCTCATGAAAGTTAGCATGTAATCACTGACAGACGTGGATCTGGACAAGTGGAACAGGTAGCTAGCTCACAGACAGACTAAGAATTGATCAGTCAATTAGATATGATTAATAAGTTCAAAACATATACAGCAGGATATTTGTGTGATTGTGTAAAGCAGGTGTGTGCTGGTATAATCATGTCAATATGACTATTAAGAGAAAACTTTCACCATGCATTTTGTTTTGCATAGCTCACGCAGGATGTGTGAACAGAAATACTCTGTCACAAGTAAAAGTCCTGCACTGAAAACGTTACTAAAAGGACAAAAAAAGCAGCAACCCCCCATCCCCACCCCACACATACTTCATACCTTTTTCAGAAAAGATGCAGGCACCAATGCAATGTGTGGTCAGACAGCACACTCTCAGTCTAGTGACAGGACAACTCCAGGGTTGTCACACATGGCTGTTTCTTAAATGATGAAAACACAATTACACAACCTCATTGTGAGTTGTCAAAGACCACACCCAACAGCCTGTGCCAAGGCCCGAACTTAGCAGTCTCATTAGGTTATATATTCTCCTGTTGGCCGAGTTGCTCATGGGGAATGGCCACACAGTGGCTGTTGCCTTGGCCCACACATAGAAGACACTTAAAGCAGTCACGTCAGGCTCTAAACTTGTGCAGGTCCAGAGGGGTTGAGGATATTTACTCACCACTCCCCATTATATCAATGTAATTATATCTGTAGAAATGATGAAGTCAGAGACTAAATGCCAAAATCCAACTACATTCTGCTGCTCCAGTCTGCAGCAGTTGTCTGATTGAAATGGAATAGTTTAGGCAGTCCACTCTGATTGGGTTTGTATTTATATAGAGCTTTTCTAGTACACACACACACACACACACACACACACACACACACACACACACACACACACACTTTCTTTATGAGAAGGGGCAATTTCGGGCTCAGTATTTTGCCCAAGGATACATCGAAAAGGGGAAGACTGGGATCAAACTGCAGACCTTCAATTCAATTTTATTTGTATAGCGCCCAATCATAAAATACATTGTCACTTTACAAAGAAGATCAAGACCTTAAAATCATATTAAATAAAGAGAAACCCAACAGTTCCTACAATGAGCAGCACTGTGGAGAGGAAAACCTCCCTCGTTAACAGGGAGAAATCTGCCACGACTGGTTGGGGTGAACCTTCTGGTTACTGCTCTAACTACCGAGCCACCCATAGGTCTGTAAATGTCAAACTTGAATGTCGGGGCTAACTGACACCACAGGAGCAATATGGAGTACTACTCTAATTTATTTTGTTCTGTTGATTTTGTACATTTGAAAATTCAGTCACCATTTCTTCAATTGTAATTGACTTGGCTGCAACGCTGTTTTAGTCCATAAAAACACTGGAGTTTCAGGAATCTAAACACTTCATCCATACCTAGGTATAGTGGTGAGTAGATAATGAGTGAATCTTTAATTTTTCTCTTTAAACCATACAAATAACATCCAGAAAAGTACTTTAAAAAACTGACTGGAGGTCTGTACGTTTGACCAAAAGAGAGTCCAATGGGATGGACAATGTTTTAGGGCTGCAACTAATGACTATTCAGATAGTCAATAAATCTTTTGATTATTGAAATCATTGATCGACTAATTGGATTACGAATCAAACAATTACTCAATGGCTCTTATTTAGCTTTTCAGCTTTTAAATTTAGCTAGTGGTTGTTTTTGGCATGTGAGAACTAACAATAAAGATCAATATATACAGACACACACACTACAAAAGATTAGTGCTGATATAAATCAGCATGCAGATGGTTGAAGACTGCGATTGAACCGTCGACCTACTGGTTGGAGGACGACCACTCTACCCCTCAGACACACTACACTACACAAGGTTTCAGTTCCTTTGACGTAACTGAGTGACACTCATGATGACGTCGGACTAAACTTCCTCACGTACAAGTTACAAAAGTACAGACTGAAATAAGTCTCCTTTCCCATATTTCACAACATAACTTTAAAACTCGTCCACTTTCAGTTTGAAGAGAAGAACTAAAGCTGGAGCACAGGAAATGTAAGCAGAAGAAGGGTAAGTGTGAGCGTGGGTACTGAGTGAAAGCTTTATAAAAGTCTGGATCATACTACACAACAGATCCTCACATGCAGACAGCACCACAGCAGCACTGCTCAGACGTCTGCTCCATGATGTAGCATATCATTTATCATGTGTTGTTCTCAGTTTAAAACCCTCAACCAACCACCTGTTAACATTATAAGTTACGAAAGTGGCTCGGCTAAAAGCAGAACAGGTGACAGTTGGCGATGCGTAGGACAGCGTAGGTCATGATGTATTATGGGAAACCATGAGTGCACTATATTGGGGATGTAAGACAAACATCCAGACACCTCTACATAATGGAAAACTCACTTTATAGTGGACTTTATAGGGATGAGTCAGTGGTTTCAGACACAGCCTAAAACTGCTGGGTGAAATTTACAAGAAAAATTATATTGAATTTTAATTAATCATAAAATTAATTAAATCATTTGATTTAACTTTTGACTTCATAATCAGGGCAGAATCCATGTGCTAAAATGATTATAATTCAACTAAATTCAGATTATGTTAGATACACTAAAGTAGCATTAGTTTTTGTTAATGTTATGTATTACATTTTTTTTTCCTTAGTGATGATATAGGTGTTACAAACAATAGAATGAAACCGAAATGACAACAATAAACTGAATATGGATGGGTGGAGGGGGAGTAGATTCTGAGGCATTGGAGCAGGATGTGTAAAGTGAAAGGTGGGGTCATGGCTGGAGTGTAATGGTCCTGAGGTGTAATGGAGAAAATCTGTGATAAGTCAAGGAGCAAAATAGGCCTGAGGAATGAAAACAAACACTAAGAACACATGAGACACTAAGCTGATGCAATGAACAACAGGTGAGTGAGAGCAGAGCTGCAGGGGAAGATCATGCCCAGAAACAGAGACAGACAGGAATTAAATAAATTAAAAATCTTGCTTTGGCTGCCGCCAATAGCTTCAAGACTCATCTAAATGCTTTGGTTCTGTGAAGGCTCCTTTATGCATTGATGCTTCTTAGCAAAGCTTCTAAAAGTGCAGGCTTTTGAAAACCAGTAGGATAGAATGTAGTGGAATATATCTTCAGCAAGTCTCGAGTACTACACAGTTCATGGTGTGATTGTGAAAGGGTGAGTCATTATTTTCATGGCCTTATTTCCACCTTGCAGGGTCATTTGAACAGGGGATCACAAAACAACTGTTTTCTTTAAAGTATTTAGAAAGCAACTTCCCTATATTTTGATTAAAAATGTTGAGTGCAGGAAAGCTGTACGCCAAATGTTTCAAATTGACACCAGGTACTCATAACCAAATTATCTGCAAAATACATTCCAAGTCAACAATGTTGTTGGTCTTTCAAATCAATCAACATTTTGTTGCTGCTACAGGAAGATGAACTGTGTGGACAACAATGGAAATTGTATCCATCTATCTTTACAGTTTTAGAGAAAGCAACAGCTGGCCATATTTCTGTCACAGCAGTATAGCTAAGCTGCAAATGCTGAGTACACCAAGCTAAATCTACCACATGCCTGGTTGAATTGTGCATGTTCATCAGGTGCGATCGATCCAGACAGATTCTCACACGACTAAACGCAGTGTACACTTATCCTGCAGAAAAGATTTGTTAGAGACAATACAGCCTCAATGACATGCCCAGGGAAGCTTTTCTAGAAACTGACACAGTCCACCTTTGTCAGTCACTCTTGACTCATCGGGTTTAATACCTGTAGAGCCCATTGCAACAGCTGGTGCATAAGCAAAGTGTTTTCTCCTGTGAGTGGCTACTTTACGGTCATCAAATTTGTCAAACACAGTTTGATGAACATATTTTTATCATTGGAAAAGAAATATGTGCAACTGTGTCACAAACACCAACCATCAAATCAACATTTTTGCAGAACATAACACGTGTATCTCTCAAATACAGCCGTTCATCCAGACATGTGTGAGATGTTCGAGCATGATGTACAGTCATCAATTCAAGCTTTCCTCTTTATAAAATCCTGAGCAGTTATCACAATATATTTAGGACAAGTTTTAAAGAGCTGCTCAGTACTGTTCTCATTTACTAGTTTATTTTTGGCATAAATGTGTAAAGCTGTGCTGACTTTACCTGTCTCGCAACACTTCAACACGACTCTCCAGCATTAATGTCTTTTTGAATGAGTTCTCACTCTGTTCAACATCTCAGAAAATGCAGGACTCGTTTGTCGCACAGCGGTGTTCAACTCGGAGACTTTAAACAGACTAGATCACAAATTTACATCTACATAATTTATAAAAAAGGGGTTTCCCTTTAACTGGATATACTCTCCAACTGCAGCTGCCATTTCCAAATAGGGAATCACCTGATTGTTTAATTTCTTTTAATCTTCCACGGATGTAGGCCAAAAGCCTGTTATCAACCATGGAGGTGTTGTCAATGATCAAAAGCTGCAATTTGCTATATTTAGCATGTAACAAGTTTGGCTTTTCCTCCACAAAGGTGTGTATTACAAGTGTAAATCTTTTCCAATGCCAAATGCATTGTGGATAGTAGTGGCATATAAATTGTATGCAGCTATCCCAGTTGGAGCAGGCAATACAACACAAATGTCATCTGGAATAGGATACTGTGTGGACAACAGTTGAATTGCCTCGTAGTAAAAAGCCTTTATTAAATGGCTCTTACTTGTCCCTGGACTGGCTGTAGTAAAAAGGTCTATCGGGTCAAAGCAGATCGAGGTAATGCCAGACTGTCACTTAAGTTGTTTCTCTTTTCCAAGTGTCCAACTTTCTACCTCAGCGCTAAATCTGGAATATTTTCCATGGTTCATAAAGCGCAGGTTTCTTTTTGGAAAGCAGCTGTTGGCACTCAGAATGCTCCAATTCCTGCTCTGGCACCAGACATTCTCTACAACACTCTCATTGTAAATGGAACTTTGGATATTATCCAATTCATCTGCATCCATTTCAAATATGCTTCCATTGAAATCAACAATTGATTTGACTGAATGCAGCGCTCCATCACCCAGACTCACATGATTAGTGATGTAGAAATGCTTGTGTGTCTAAAATCCTGCTGGTTTGAGTTGCACATCTTCACAATATGGTAGAAACAACTGCAAAATGATCCAATTCTGGACTTTGTCTTAGAAAAGCGTACACAATAAACTGCAGATTGTGTGAGTGTGTGTTCCGTAATATAACACCACAATCATTGTCAAGCTTTATGCTATTCACAGACGTCTAATCTCTAGACAGAAAACGATACTCGGATACAAATGTTACCATGCTCATGTTATTAAATATTGCATCTCATGGCTTGTTCCTGTTAAGAGAACTAGCCA